GCCCCCGCCCCAGCCCCCGCCCCAGCCCCCGCCCCAGCCCCCGCCCCCGACGCCCAAGCCCCGCCCCTGACGCCCAGGCTCCGCCCCCGTTCCGGCTCGGCCTCGCCCAGCCCGCAACCGTCACGTGCTGAGGCGCGGCGTCCAGCCCGTAGCTGATGCTGCCGCGCGGTATTCGTCATGGAGCTGGCGCCGCGGAGTTGTCTTATGCCGGTGCTGCTGCTGCTCCTGGGCCTGAGCACGGGTAGGTTCGGGCAAAAGTGCTTCAGCGGCCGGTGCCTCCTTCTCTTCTTTAGGGATAAGAATCTGTTAGTGGGTTTGTGCTTTTTAAAGCATATTCCTTTTCCCCTGTTTCTACCTTGCGTAATTATTTTTGCTTTTGAGTCTCACTCTATTTTTTTTTTTCCGGATTCAAAGTTCTTTTTCTACTTTTTTCTGGCTCTGGGTGGTCTGCTGCCTTGTTTCTTCCCTGCGTGTAGGTAGAAGCAGTTTTGCAAAATGTAAGATTTGGAGAAGCTCCTGATCAATGAGGGTTCCGCAATCTTAAGGCCACCTCCCTTTTCCTGCCGCGATTGGCTGCTAAATGAGATTATAAGGTCTTTTTATTTTGAGCTGAAACACACGGTACCAAGACTGAAAAATCCTACCACGAATGGGACGTTTAATTGCGAGTAAGCCTTTCTACCTCTACCTGATCAGAACAGGCAGGATAATATGTCCCCTCACCGCAGTCCTTTTTGGCAAAAACAAATTCGTGTTTAATGGGATGACTTGCAAATTGATTTTCAGTCTTTTCTTTAAGCAAAATGAGCCCTGGTGTGAATCAAGAACTGAGAATTCGAACTAACCACAAACTTGCCTTGTGATCTTAGGCAAGTTGCTTTACTTGTTTTCCCTTTTGTAAAATGGGGATCATATGACCCTTCGACTTGTGTCTGGGAAATGTCGAATAGGTTGCCCCCCGATTTTTTTTATATAAATTTATTTTATTATTATTTATTTTTGGCTGCGTTGGGTCTTTGTTGCTGCGCGCGGGCTTTCTCTAGTTGCGGCGAGCGGGGGCATTTATTGAATGCCTGGTAAGTGCTAGGTATTGTACAGCTATCTTGATTGTTTCAAGGATCTTGCATTTTTTAGTTGGTCTAACGATTAAGGAAATACCCTTTTTCATATTTGTTGCCGACCTTTCTTTGTTGTTTTGCCTTTTATTTTTGTTGTACAGAAATGTAACAAGTTTCTGTCCTCAGCTCTTGATATTTTGTTTTATAGTCTCTAGGGTATGCTTTAATCGTTTCCCCATCCAGAGGTCAAAGAGACTTTCAACTCTATTTTCATATTATTTTTCACATCTAAATTTTAAAATTGAAATATCTGATCCACTTGGAATTTATTTTGGTTTAGAGTGTTAAGAAAGAACCTACATCTCTATTTTTTTTCTTCAAAAATCTGTTACTCCAGAGTAATATAGTGAGTAATCTTGCCCCACTAACTTGTGATGCTGCTTCTTTTTTTTTTTTTTTTTTTTGCGTTATGTGGGCCTCTCACTGTTGTGGCCTCACCCGTTGCGGAGCACAGGCTCCGGACGCGCAGGCTCAGCGGCCATGGCTCACGGGCCCAGCCGCTCCGTAGCACGTGGGATCTTCCCGGACAGGGGCATGAACCCGTGTCCCCTGCATCAGCAGGCGGACTCTCAACCACTGCGCCACCAGGGAAGCCCGTGATGCTTCTTTAATTGTATATTAAATGAGGAACAAAAATCAACGTGCTGCATTTTGAGATTTTTTTTCCCCCAAAGTGTAAATCTCTCTCTTTTAAACAGAATTATAAACACGTTTTATGCTTCCTGTTAAAAATCCAAACATTACAGAGGGTGTAGGTGAAAATGTGAAAGCCTCCAGCCCCCTGTGCCACTATTAAGTTTGGTATGTTTTTTCATAGCTGAGTTTTTTGAGGTTTTTTTTCCTTATCTCCACAATATATTGGAGTAAATAAATTGTCTGAAGTATAAACCAAATCATCACTAGCCTAACCCAGCCGTGTCTCCTGGGCTGGGAATTTAACTGGACATAGACATTCTTCTGGAAAATCGAACTGTGCTTCTGTTTCAGGAGCTGTCATCAGCTGGCCCACAGAAGAGGGCAAGGAAGTATGGGATTATGTGACTGTCCGGAAGGATGCCCACATGTTCTGGTGGCTCTATTATGCCACCAGCCCCAGCAAGAACTTCTCAGAACTGCCCCTGGTCATGTGGCTTCAGGTAAAATTGGTTTCACTGCCTGGCCTGAGGTTGAGGCCAGGTTTCCCCCACTTACCACCTTGCTTGCCCTTAAAGGCTCACAGCTCAGCAGTGAAGAACTGATGTGGTCCAGCAGCCAGCTGGGGCTCTCCTAGGCTTGGGAATTCAGCGTCCTTCTGAGGCAGGCAAAGGCGATGGTACAGTCAAGGAAGCCAAATCAGAGAGTGAGAGGTTCTAGTCTTTTACGGGGGTCTTTTTCTATTGAGCCCAGCACAGGCAGCAGTAGGAACCCTTACTGGAAGCTCCTGAAGACACATTTGACAATATGCTGACAGAAAGTGTTTCTGGAAGGTTCCAAAGCAAAGACTGAGGTACCCTGACCAGCCCTTCCTCTCCCCTCCCAGTCCTTTCCTAGATCTGAATTCCTTGCCCCTAGAAAAACTGGTATTTTGAAAGAACTCAGCCTTTTGTATCTTAGCATTAAGTGTCGGGCCCTATTCTTCTCCCTAAAGAGTGTTTGCATTTTTAATCTTGAGCTCTAGTGGTAGGATTGAAGAAGGAAACTGGTTGGAAATTATTTGAGGGCAGGCAGAGGATCCTTCCTTCCTTTCATTCCTAAAATGTCTGTACAAAGGTGGCCCACACCCACCTGGAAGACCAAGATCTAGGGAGGGGTTGAGGAATGCGGTCTTGCTTCACCTTCTGGAAACTGTAGGCATGGCCCAGCTGGGGCACCAGGTTGCTCACCAATAAATAGGGCGCCCTAGGGATTCCCTGGTGGCGCAGTGGTTGAGAGTCCGCCTGCCCATGCAGGGGACACGTGTTCGTGCCCCGGTCCGGGAAGATCCCACATGCCGCGGAGCGGCTGGGCCCATGAGCCATGGCCGCTGAGCCTGCGCGTCTGGAGCCTGTGCTCCGCAGCGGGAGAGACCACAACAGTGAGAGGCCCGCGTACCGAAAAAAAAAAAAATAGGGCGCCCTGATACTCACCCCCATGGGATGTAAATGTCACTTCCTCCAAAAATGTCATTATTCGTAAGCAGCCTCCCAGTGCCCCCAGCTTTGCCTTCCAGACCAGTGGATACAGGCTTTCTGATGAGATAAGAAGAGCAGTTTGCACGGAGGGGCCTTTTTCTCTTGGGATTATCGCAAGTATTTTCTTTGAAGGCTGGGGTGAGGCTCAGCCCGAGAGTGCTCAGAAGAAGAACCCGTCTGTGTGTCCCAGGGAGCTTTTGTGCATCCCGGGCAGCTGGAGATGAAGCTGTGGCAGGGCTGTCAGGGAGAGCCGTGCAGTGGACAAGCCCAGTTCTGCCTTCCTGCCACTTAGAGCCATGGCAAAACACTTCCCTTCTCTGGGCTTTGGTCTGCGGGATTTCAGCGGTTTTCAAACTTTGTATTAATCAGCAGAACTTCTTCCGCTCCCAAGTGAAAGCTTGCAGACCAGCCAAAGCAGAAGAAGGAAGTGCTGGGGCCGGGGCTGGGGCGGAGTGCCAAGTCCCACCCATTCAGCCTCCCCTTTGTCACGTGCTGCCCCTCAGGTACTTTCTGGGCTTCCGGGAACACACTGAAAACCACTGAATTTCTGAGACGGCAAACCTTCCTTCTGGTTGACTGCAGAGTAGGGCAGTTGTTTTATTTGAATGAGTTGCCAACATTTACAAATGAAGACATTTCCTTCCTTTTTCCCAAAACCAGGAGATGCGATTACTTGGGGCCTGAACTTGCTGTCCCGGAGCGGAGTGGTGGGGCCCCTCTTGCACACAGGCAGGAGCTTCGGGGGACCCACCTGCCCTCTCTGCTCCTCTTCTGGCCCCTCAAGACCGTGCAGTTTGTGACCTTTGGTTTCTGTGAGCTGAGATGCTATTTGATGGTTATCAACGGGCTCACTGTCCTGCTCTTCATCTCCTCAGAGGCCCAAGGGAAGGGGAAAAGAGTATGATTAAGGAAGAAATAATTAATTCAGGTTAAAAGGAGATGTCTCTTAGCAGCCTACTGAGAATCCATGCACTGACTCCTCTGGACAGGTCCTTGGGAGTCAAGGTCACGTCATCTGAGTGGAGTAGCTCTGAGTGATGTAGTGTGCTACGTTAGGTACACTTTCAAGTCATTTAAGCGTTTTAGTTTGTCCTTGGACACACTTGCCATATTTCAGAGTCACTGCATAGTCCTGGGCCGTGACAGTACCCCCATCCCAAAGTTCTAGACAAAGAGCTTTTGCAGTGGTATGTTATCAAGTAGAACAGGACAGGAGAATGGGATTTCTCCCACAAAGACCATACCTCTAGGATTCCAGCTTCTCTCCTTTCACTTTGGTCCTATCCCAGCCCAGTAAGTCCACTAGGAAAAAGGGGCCCAGCTTTCACTCAAGGACCCTTGCTTTTATTTTATTTTGTTTTTTGCTTTGCTGTTTTTTAAATTGAAGAATAGTTGGTGTACAGTATTATATGTTACAGGTATACAGTATAGTGATTCACAATTTTTAAAGGTTCTACTCCATTTATAGTTCTATAAATATGGGCTATATTCCCCGTGTTGTACAATATATCCTTGTAGTTTATTTTATACATAGTGGTTTGTATCTCTTAATCCCCTTCCTTTACATTCCCCCCTCCCTTCCCTCTCCCCCCTGGTAGCCACTAGTTTGTTCTCTATATCTGTGAGTCTGCTTCTTTTCTGTTACAGCCACTCGTTTGTTGTATTTTTTAGATTTTCCATATAAGTGACATCATACAGTATTTGTCTTTCTTTGTCTGACTTATTTCACTTAGCATAATACCCTCAAAGTCCAATCATGTTGCTGCAGTTGGCAAAATTTCATTCTTTTTGAAGGCTGAGTAGTATTCCATTGTATATATATACACCGCCTCTTCTTTATCCATTCATCTGTTGATGGGCACTTAGGTTGCTTCCATATCTTGGCTATTACAAATAATGCTTCTATGAACATTAGGGTGCATGTATTTTTTCAAATTAGTGTTTTTGTTTTTTTCAAATATATACTTAGGAGTGGAATCACTGGATCATGTGGTAGTTCTATTTTTAGTTTTTTGAGAAACCTCCATACTGTTTTCCACAGTGGCTGCACCAATTTACATTCCCACCGACAGTGTTACAAGGATTCCCTTTTCTCCACATCCTCGCCAACATTTGTTTGTGGTCTTTTTGATGATAGCCATTCTGACAGGTGTGAGGTGGTATATCGTTATGGTTTTGATTTGCATTTCCCTGATGATCAGCAGTGTTGAGCATCTTTTCATGTTCATGCTGGCCACCTGCATTTCCTCTTTGGAAAAATGTCTATTGAGTTCTTCTGCCCATTTTTTAATCAGGTTGTTTGTTTTTTTGATGTTGAGTTATATGAGCTGTTCATATATGTTGGATATTAACCCCTTATTGGTTGTATCATTTGCAACTATTTTCTCCCGTTCCATAGGTCTTTTCATTCTGTCGATGGTGAGGACATTGCTTAGAGGGATTTATAGCCTCCCAGTTTTATAATAGTTAGCTTGGTGTCGGTTCAAAACATTCAATAGTTTCATAAACTCTCTGTTGGGGTCCTTTAGTTACCCCTGAGCCCTGACTCTATGTTGTCTTTTTTTTTCCTTTAGATTTCCCTGTACAGATTGCCCTGGTTTCTGTTTTGCCTGAGCTGTTTCCTTCCATCATTGTGTATCTCCCTTTCCTAACCATCTTGCACAGGGAGATAGCATCCTTTTATTCAAGGCCCTCGGCCTATCCTGTTGGCTCAGCTGACCCCTGAGGTTTTGTCCAGAAAAGCACTGACCATCCTTACCCCTGACCATCTCCTGAAGGACCTCCTCCCCTCTCTTAGCCCTTAGAAGCCATAGAACCTCTGCCTCCCATTGTCTGGGCCCCCAGCACTGAGCTTCTGTTCAGAATCCTGCCCACAGTGTTGAGTGCTTCCTGCCCAGGGACTTCCGCATTTACTATGTTATATCCTGGGGATCATCTTGATCAAACTGCCCCTCAGTCTGGGTCCCTGGTAAATCCTCAGGGACACTGAGGAGAAGGTGGTGGAGAGTCACAAGGCCCCGGGTCCAGTCCTGGTGGAGCCCCTAATTGCCACGTTCCCTCTCTGGGCCATACTGCTCATCTTTGAAGGGAGAGGTTTGGACGAGATGTTTTGAGGTCAGCAAACCCCACGGGTCAAGCTCAGAGAATCAGAGGTAGGAACGTTCCCTCTGGGGGCCCTTAGCCCGGTTGCTTCCTTTTTTTAGAAAGACTTGAGCAGTTACCAGGGGCTCAGTTAGTGCAGACACTGGATCAGTTGTGTCCTGTGTGTAAGGCTGACCCAGCCATCACTGACTCATAAATTGTTTACAGTGAATGGGGTCATTGTTGGAGTGACGAAGGTTTGACTAACATTTTCTCTGACTTTATTTTTGTTTGTTTGTTTGTTTTGCTTTCACAGGGTGGTCCAGGTGGTTCCAGCACTGGATTTGGGAACTTTGAGGAAATCGGGCCCCTTGACAGAGATCTCAAACCACGAAGAACTACTTGGGTACAGTGAGGAAGGCCTCGAACTCAAACTGCCGTGTGGCCTCCCCCAGGCTGAGTCCCACCCAGCCCTACCCCATTCTGGGTGGCGTCACAAGTTGAGCCATCCCACTCCACCCCCCTCCCTCTTCCTCTGTGTCCAGGGGGACCTTGCGTACTTGTCCACAGGCTTCCTCTCTGGCCAGCCTCTTCCATTTCTTGGGGCAGCTTATCCCACACTGGTCACCTTCCCAACTCGCTGACCTTTCTCTCCACTTGCCTGCAGAAACCTCTGTCTACTCTAGCAGACCCCCTGGACCTTGTCATGACCCACATATTGGCCATCCCTGCAATCTGAGATGCCAGGGTCCCACCTTCTGGCCACAACCTGCAATCCTTTCCCCTCCTACTCTCCTACTTCCATTCTTGTCTTCCTCAGGACTTCAAACCCCTTGTCCTCTGCCCTTTTGATGTCTCTCTAGTTCTCTGTCTCACCCCGCCCCCTCATTCTTCGCTTCACTTCCTTACCTAACCCTCACCCCTGGTTCCCTCATTCTTCTCCCTCCGCATCCTTGCCATGCCCAGCCTGGGGTCAGTCCCCCTGTCCACCTGCTCAGCCCCTTCCTCCAGGCTGCCAAACACTGGTGGATAAAACCACACCAGTGGGCAGGGTGGGGCTGTTGCTCCCAGCTGGTGGCCACCCTCTGCTCTGTGCTTCTCCTCTGCTCCTCTCCCATCTGTTGATGGACACTTAGGTTGTTTTCACCTTTTGGCTGTTGTGAATAATGCAGGGAACATTAGCGTACAAATATTTGTTTGGGCCCCTATTTTCAATTTGGCGGGGTGGGGTGGGGAATTGCTGGGTCCTATGGTAGCTCTGTGTTTAATACCCAAGTGTTGCTAATATTCTTCATCCACCCCTTTTCCATTGCCTCTCGTGGGTGCTTTCAAAATGCCCCCCCCACCCCCAATCCACTTCCCACATGGTGCTTGGGTGAAACCCTCCAATGCCAGTCACTCCTTAGTTTACTGTCTTTCAGTTCTGCAAAGATCGGATCCAGATTCCTGGGCGTAAACTGGCTTCTGCTAGCCATACCTCCCAGCTTCTCTGCATGCGCACTCTCCTTGAGGCCTCTGTGCGGGCCATTCCTGGGCTTGCACTTCATTCCTTTGGTCACCCGGTCACACCTAGCTCACCATACTCACCTCTAAGACTCAGTGCGGGAGCACCTCCACCTGAAGATCCCCTCTGAGCCCTTTGATTTTCTTGTCTGTCTCCATACTGGTCTTCTTTAAGCACATTTTACTTACTCTTGCCTCAGGGTCTTTGCACATGCTGTTCCCTCAGCCTAGAACATTCACATACTCACTTCCAGTAGCAGAGTACCCCACTGGCTTGTCCCCAAGCCTCCCACGACTAATAGGGTAATGTGACTGGGGCAGAGAGCCTGAACAAGAAGTGAGGAGATGCTGGCCTTGGTCCTGACACTGCCATTACCTATCCAACTTTGTGACCTTGGACAAGTCCTGGGCCTTTCTGGGCTTTAATGTCCTGATCAGTAAAGGACATGGCTGTAGTGTGTCATCACTAGGGATCCTTCAGGATGTAAAATTCTATAACTCTAAACCTCTTTGGGAAAGGTGTTAGAATAAATTCTGTTCTTGTAGTGTTCAGCAAAGCCAGGCCAATGTGGAAACTGGATTCATCTTGAAGAAAACAGACGTGTGGTATTCCGACCTCTCACTGCTTCGAGCTGTTGCTCAGACTGACACTGCATGGTTCTACCTGCACGAATGAATTACATTCAGGACATTTGTAGTGTCTGAAAGTAACAGCCTAGATGCTTCGATCCCTGTGTATATGTTAATTTTTCCTTCTTGCCTCTCCTTTTCTTTGCCTTTCTTTGCTATACTAGTCCGTGTTCCTGTTCCAATTTTTTTTTTTTTTTTGTGGTACGCGGGCCTCACTGTTGTGGCCTCTCCCATTGCGGAGCACAGGCTCCAGACGCGCAGGCTCAGCGGCCATGGCTCACGGGCCCAGCTGCTCCACGGCATGTGGGATCTTTCCGGACTGGGGCACGAACCCGTGTCCCCTGCGTCGGCAGGCAGACTCTCAACCACTACGCCACCAGGGAAGCCCCCCCATTTTTTTTTTTTAATACATTTTAGTAACAGATCATAACCACACTGATATCCTCACATGCGTGGTTTTTGTTGAGCTCATATAAGGTGATCAGAAGATAGTTGGTGACTGGCTGGCTGATTGCAACTTTTTTTTTTTTTTTTTTTTGCGGTACGCGGGCCTCTCACCGTTGTGGCCTCTCCCGTTGCAGAGCACAGGCTCTGGACGCGCAGGCTCAGCGGCCATGGCTCACGGGCCCAGCAGCTCCGCGGCATGTGGGATCTTCCCGGACCGGGACACGGACCCGTGTCCCGTGCATTGGCAGGCAGACTCTCAACCACTGCGTCACCAGGGAAGCCCCTGATTGCAACATTTGACTTTCCTCTGTGGCTTGTAGCTCCAGTCGGCCAGTCTCCTGTTTGTGGATAACCCAGTGGGCACTGGGTTCAGTTATGTGAACAAGAGTGACGCATACACCAAAGACCTGGCCATGGTGGCATCAGACATGATGGTTCTCCTGAAGACTTTCTTTGAATGCCACAAAGAATTCCAGGTAAGCAAGCTCAGAGGGGGCTAGCAGTTGCAGCACTGCATCCATCAGATGCAAACTTCCCCAAGAGTTACATGCCTAGCTGATTCCAGAGAAAACCTTTTTGCACCCAGGATCAGATTGTGGGCTTCTGTTTCAGTCATCACTAAAGGTGGTTTTAGCTTGAAAAAAATGACCCTGCAGCCAGTATTCTAATTAAACATAATAATCAGATATGGGAGGAAAGATCAGCAAAAGCAGATTTGTTTTGTCTGGCCATTACATGCAATAGAAATTTGAAATTGATTCGTGTGAATTAAAAGACATTCAGGATATTTAATTCTTTGTAAATTCCTTTTCTTCCTAGACGATTCCATTCTACATTTTCTCAGAGTCCTATGGAGGAAAAATGGCTGCTGGCATTGCTCTAGAACTTTATAAGGTAACAAGGAAGATGACTTTGTTTTGATGTTGGACAGAAACTCATTATCTTACTTGTGATAGTCACCTGATAATTGAATATTCTTTGAATAGGACCTTGTACATACAGAGTAAGTCTGTAATAATAACCATGAAAAATTTCAAAAAGAACAATGAAGTTTGCCCCACCAGATATCGAACAGGCTATACAGCTAAGCGAGTAAAGCAATTTGCGGCTGGCGTAGCAACAGAGAAATGCAGATACATGCATCAGGCTAAAGAATCTAGAAACATATTTTATATATACTTATGTATATGTATATATGTATCTGTGTATGTTTATAACATACATATGTATCATACTTACATATGAACATATAAATGATAAGGTGGTATTTCAAATCATTGAGGAAAACAGAATGTTCAATAAATGATATGGAGACAAGTGGCTATCACTTTGGAAAATAGTAAAGTTAGATTCTTGCCTTACATGAAACATCAGTTCTTTTTATTTTTTTAATTATTTATTTTATTTTTGGCTGCGTTGGGTCTTTGTTGCTGTCCACGGGCTTTCTCTAGTTGTGGCGAGCGGGGGCTACTCTTTGTTGCGGTGCGCGGGCTTCTCATTGCAGTGGCTTCTCTTGTTGCAGAGCACAGGCTCTAGGCGTGAGGGCTTCAGTAGTTGTGGCTCACAGGCTCTAGAGCACAGGCTCAGTAGTTGTGGCGCACGGGCTTAGTTGCTCCGCGGCATGTGGGATCTTCCCAGACCAGGGCTTGAACCCGTGTCCCCTGCATTGGCAGGCAGATTCTTAACCACTGCACCAACAGGGAAGCCCCGGAACATCAGTTCTTGATAGATTAAAAATCTAAACATAAAAATCAAAACTGTAAGAGAACCTGAAAACATAGGAGAAAAGTTTTATAATCTTGGGTACGAAAAACTTGCTTTTCCTTCATAAGATGAAACACCCAAAAGCAAAAAGAATAAGTTTGACGTATTTAGACCACATAGAAATTTAAAACTAATTAGAGTTTCATAAACAATTTTAAAAGATATATACACACAAATAAATATATAGTAGAAGTAGTATTCACATCAATAAGTTCATTAAAGAAGATAATATTCTAGGGGGCTTCCCTGGTGGTGCAGTGGTTGAGAGTCCACCTGCCCATACAGGGGACGCGGGTTCGTGCCTCAGTCCGGGAAGATCCCACATGCCGCGGAGCGGCTAGGCCCGTGAGCCATGGCCGCTGGGCCTGCACGTCCGGAACCTGTGCTCCGCAACGGGAGAGGCCACAACAGTGAGAGGCCCACGTACCACAAAAAAAAAAAAAAAAAAAAAAATATATTCTAATAGGATATTGGCCAGAAAATATGGGCAAACAATTTATAGAAGAAATGCAAACTGCCTATGGACATGTGAACAATGTTCAACTTTTAGTAGTAAGTCAAATCTGTGAGATTTGCAAATATTTTTAAAAATTGGTGGGAGGTCTCTGGGGGTCCAGTGATTAGCACTCCACGCTTCCACTGCAGGGGGCACGGGTTCGATTCCTGGTCGGGGAACTAAGATCCCGCATGCCACATGGCATGGCCAAAAAAATAAATAAATAAAATAAAGTAAAAATTTGGTAACCCCCAGTTTTGGTAAGCAGTCAGGGAAATAAGTGCTCTTGTGCACATTTGATGGGAATGAAAACTGGTAAATCATTGTAAAAGGGCACTTTGGCAGTATCTATAAACTTTTAAAATGTATGTGCCCTTTGACCCAATAATTTCACTTCCAGGAATCTGTCCTGTGGGAATACTTATACATGTGTGTGTGTCAGAGGATGTTAAGTTCATCGTTGCTTATAATGTCCATAAACGGAAAACGAGATCAGTGGCTGTGTGTAGAGGATTACTTAAATGAAATACGTGGATCCTTCCGTGATGGACACTTTGAAGCCATCAGAAAGAATGGGTAGATCTGTGCATATGTATACATGTATGTATCTATATATGCTTGTGAAAACAAAGAAAGGAGTTAGAAGGATATATACCATGTTAACTGGTTAGTGAGCGTGAGGGTGCAGGTGGGGCAGAGGTAGAAGTTTTTTCACATTTTCTCCTGTCTCCTTCTGTGATTAAACTTTTTACAGTGAGCTTGTATGAGCTTTTTTTAATTGAAGTATAGTTGATGTACAATATTATATAAGTTACACATATACAATATAGTGATTCACAATTTATAAAGATTATACTCTATTTATAGTAAAATATTGGCTATATTCCTCGTGTTATACAGTATGAGCTTTTTTTTTTAAGATTTATTAATTCTCTTTAAAAATGAACCTTTTGTAAGAAGCAGTATAGGTGCATAACAGAAAATTAGAAAATACAGCAAGCACAAATTAAAAAAATTAAAAAGAGATCACCATTGTTAACACCTCAGTGTATAGCCTTTAAATCTTTTTCTGCGCTTTTAGAAATAAGTAAATTTTTTAACCAATAGGAGATAGTAGTATACATAATGTCTGTAGCCTGCTTCCTTCCGTCACTAGTCCTCCCTTTCCTACTTCAGTAAACTTTCATCTCAAATATTCAGGCTTTAATAATCCCAACACGTCCTTTTTGGTCAGTTTGTTTAAGCCAGGACTCAGTCCAGATCCGTGAATTACATGTGGCTGGGATGTCCCTAAAGTCCGTTTTCATCTAACACAGTTCCTTTTTTATGACCCCCATTTGATAAAGAAACCAGACTAACAGAATATCCCATTTTCTGGAATTGTGTGGTAGCATCTTCATGGTGTAATTTAGTTTATTCCTCTCTTCATGGTGTTTCCTACAAAACTGGAGGTCATAGTTAAAGGCCTGATGCATTCAAGGTAAAAGTATTGAAGAGAATATATTATAATAGGTCAGATTTCAGGAAACGATGGCCTATAGGTCAAATTCAGTCCACCACCTGCTTTTATACGACTCATGAGCTAAGAATGGTTTTTACATTATCGAGTGACAGTGGTGGGGTGGGGTGGATTAAAAGAAGAATAATGTTTCATGACACATGAAAATTGTGTGAAAATCAAATTTCAAGGTCCAAAAATAAAGCTGGGTTTTTTGGTGATTTTTATTTTATTTTATTTTTTTTAACATCTTTAGTGGAGTATAATTGCTTAACAATGATGTGTTAGTTTCTGCTTTATAACAAAGTGAATCAATTATACATATACATATGTCCCCATATCTCTTCCCTCTTGCATCTCCCTCCCTCCCACCCTCCCTATCCCACCCCTCTAGGTGGTCACAAAGCACCAAGCTGATCTCTCTGTGCTTTGTGGCTGCTTCCCACTAGCTATCTATTTTAAGTTTGGTAGTGTATATATGTCCATGCCACTCTCTCACTTTGTCCCAGCTTACCCTTCTCCATCCCCATAACCTCAAGTCTATGCTCTACTAGGTCTGTGTCTTTATTCCCGTCTTGCCTGTAGGTTCTTCAGAACTTTTTTTTTTTAATGTTCCATATATGTGTGTTAGAATATGGTATTTGTTTTTCTCTTTCTGACTTACTTCAATCTGTATGACAGACTCTTAGGTCCATCCACCTCACTACAAATAACTCAATTTTGTTTCTTTTTATGGCTTAGTAATATCCCATTGTATATATGTGTCACAACTTCTTTATCCATTCATCTGTTGATGGACACTTAGGTTGCTTCCATGTCCTGGCTATTGTAAATAGAGCTGCAATGAACATTTTGGTACATGACTCTTTTTGAATTATGGTTTTCTCAGGGTATATGCCCAGCAGTGGGATTGCTGGGTCGTATGGTAGTTTTATTTTTAGTTTTGTAAGGAACCTCCATACTGTTCTCCATAGTGGCTGTATCAAATTAAATTCCCACCAACAGTGCAAGAGGGTTCCCTTTTCTCCACACCCTCTCCAGTATTTATTGTTTGTACATTTTTTTATGATGGCCATTCTGACCAGTGTGAGATGATATCTCATTGTAGTTTTGATTTGCATTTCTCTAATGATTAATGATGTTGAGCATTCTTTCATGTGTTTCTTGGCAATCTGTATATCTTCTTTGGAAAAATGTCTGTTTAGGTCTTCTGCCCATTTTTGGATTGGGTTGTTAGTTTTTCTGATATTGAGCTGAATGACCCTCTTGTAAATTTTGGAGATTAATCCTTTGTCAGTTGCTTCATTTGCAAATATCTTCTCCCATTCTGAGGGTTGTCTTTTGGTCTTGTTTATGGTTTCCTTTGCTGTGCAAAAGCTTTTAAGTTTCATTAGGTCCCCTTTGTTTATTTTTGATTATACTTCCATTTCTCTAGGAGGTGGGCCAAAAAGAATCTTGCTGTGATTTCTGTCATGTAGTGTTCTGCCTCTGTTTTCCTCTAAGAGTTTGATAGTGTCTGGCCTTACATTTAGGTCTTTAATCCATTTTGAGTTTATTTTTGTGTATGTTGTTAGGGAATGTTCTAATTTCATTCTTTTACATGTAGCTGTCTAGTTTTCCCAGCACCACTTATTGAAGAGGCTGTCTTTTCTCCACTGTATATTCTTGCCTCCTTTATCAAAGATAAGGTGACCATATGTGCATGGGTTTATCTCTGGGCTTTCTGTCCTGTTCCATTGATCTATATTTCTGTTTTTATGCCAGTACCATACTGTCTTGATCACTGTAGCTTTGTAGTATAGCCTGAAGTCCGGGAGCCGGCTCCGTTTTTCTTTCTCAAGATTGCTTTTGCTATTCGGGGTCTTTTGTGTTTCCATACAAATTGTGAAATTTTTTGATCTAGTTTTGTGAAAAATGCCATTGTTAGTTTGATAGGGATTGCAATGAATCTGTAGATTGCTTTGGGTAGTAGAGTCATTTTCACATTGTTGATGCTTCCAATCCAAGAACATGGTATATCTCTCCATCTATTTGTATCATCTTTAATTTCTTTCATCAGTGTCTTATAATTTTCTGCGTACAGGTCTTTTGTCTTCTTAGGTAGGTTTACTCCTAGATATTTTATTCTTTTTGTTG